AATTTTTCTTGCTGTTTTTTGTTAATTCACTAGTTATCGATCTTGTTATAATTAATGTTTTATTAATTATAATAAATCATCTGATTGAGATAGAGACAGAATCGGCATCATATCATCTTAATTAGTCGTCTTCTAGTCTGGTCACACTTTGAATCTTGTAATTGATGGCTTAATTCTGCTAGATCGGCTGGTTATATCTATTTCAATCAAACATAGTATGCATTCAAAGACATATTCCAATCTTGAGTAAGTTCACTAGTTAATAAGATCTAATCTAATGACACAACTCTAGCTGCATCGATCCGATCGAACCTCACTGGTAAGACTTTGGATTAGAGATTATCGATTAGTGATTTTGTTCACGATCGAGATATGTACTATGTTTGTTTGCTATGCATGCATCGACTATTTTAGCCGATTGGCCTGTGCTTTCACGTATATAGCATGTTTTTCATGAACCTGTCAATATATAGATGGTTTTATAGATTCTTTGGCTTTAGTTTGTTATTATTATCATAGTTGTATCGATCCGATCAAACCTCACTGTTGATGGTAACAGATTAGATTCAGAGCGTTTGTAAATTCATTTGTACTAGATAGTCGATTTATTCGCGTGTTATACTCTTTTCATCAAACTTATCGGCTCAACGTTTTATATCGATCATGTTCTATTTAGCCGATGATGTTTTCTTATGTTCCATGAGCATCGTTTATTTCGATTCGTATCATTATCGTTTAATATTAGCCGATAATCCTTGATTCAAAGGTCTTCATTCCATGAATACGCTGGATATTGACTATTTAGTCGATAGCCCCATTGAATCGGCTATTTGTCCACATATTGAAACTGTCTGGTGCAACATCGACATGTTCCACCTTAAACTATTGATTATTCTCTCCTTGTCAATTGCAGGGTCAAATTGATTGGCATGCCTTTGATCCCGAAACCAACCATTCTTGTGTTGAAGCTAAGCAGATCTTCGGGCTCACTCCGTCAAGATCATCCGGCTTGCTGTGTATTGATCACATTGCCACATTTTTGTGTCAACAGAATCCCAACCCCCTTAACAGAATGTTAGCACACCCATTTATTCCACCCAAGTGCTGCAATGTGTTACTAAACCAAATGCTTCAGCAACTTAAACTGTGTTTCCACTAGCTGCTAGAAACCATTGCTGTCATAATCCCTGTGAGCTTTTGTGTAATATTGATATAATGTGAACTTGTGTTACTTGTAAGGTTGCCGTAGTTCAAGGCTGCACATCTCAGACTTGAGGTGCACCCTTCCCCAGCTCCCCCTCCTGTAAACAAACATCAATACAATACAACAGAGCTGAATGGTGTCTGTCTACGTCAAACGGGCCGTTGATTCCAGGCTTGCACTCTTTCTTTAAGACCTGTTCGTCCTCATTATCCATGTGGTTGTGTACTTGTGTGCAGCTCAAGCATTGCCTGAGGTCAAAGTCGATGTGCGGCCCGGCCAACGCACGAGGCCGGAGGCTCCGGCGCCCACGTTTTGGTGCCCACCGCTTCCGATGCGTGGCGGCAAAGCCAAGCATGCGTGGAGGCAACTGTAGCGATACCAGACGGGCGGCTCCAGGCAGTACTGCACTATACTGCCTCCGTAAAAAAAAACAATTTGAGATAGGTCGAGCTTTTTTAATTTTAAAGTTTAATGTTAATATTTATGTCTCTAATTAGATTTATACAAAAATATATTTCATAGTTAATATAATAATACCTATTTACACAAATGTTAATACTTTTTTTGCAAACTTTTTTTTATAAATTTGGTGAAACTTGAAATCGTTTGACTCCGGTAGAAGCGAGAATTATATTTTTTTAGAACGGATGGAGCAGTATTTCCTTGGCCTGTTTGACTCCGGTTTCTTGCTTTCCACTAAATCAAACTTTTCTAATTTTGACCAAGGTTTTTTTAAAAAAAAAGATGAGTAATACTTGTTAAAGTTCTTGTCATAAGTTATTGACTAACCAGTATGTACTAACAAATTATATTTCATGGATAATTTGATGAAACTAATTAGGTGTCATAGGCATTGGTGTATTTTATACGTACTTCCTCTATCCCTAAAATATAAGGAATTCTAATCTTTTTTGGGAGTCAAAACATCTTAAGTTTGATCAAATTTATATAAAAAATAATAACATTTATGATACCAAATAAATATCATTAGATTTTCATTAATTATATTTTTATAGTATAACTATTTGATGCTGATGACATAAATCTTGGAAATTATCTATAATTTTGGTCAAATTTAAGATGTTTTGACTCTTCAAGAAAATTAAAATGTCTTATAATTTAGGATGGATGGAGTACTTATCAAAATAAAAGAAATTTGACTTATATAGAATAAAAGTTAAAGTGGATTATAAACTCGAACGAAGAAACTAGTATCACTCAACAGTCAACACTAGCATTGGCCATTGCACCGGATGGCATTTAGTGGGTACTACATATATTTTTTCTAAAACAATTACTTAATATATTCTAAATTATAAGATGTTTTGGCTTTTTTAGATTCATTACTTTTACTATACACTTAGATATACACTATATCTAGATGCATAGTAAAAAATAATATATTTAGAAAAGTCAAAACACCTTATAATTTAGAACGGAGGATTATAATTTATCTACGGAACTACCCTCTACAAAGGGCTGAACTACTACTACTATTTCAAAAATATGCGGAACTACCTACCTACCCTCAACAAAGGGCTGAATAGGTGTGACGGCCTAACGAGACAGGTTAGTTCATGTGGGCATGGAAATGGCAAAAAATCTGACGTGTTGCGTCCACGGTAAGCAGGGATGGGAAAAGAGAAAGTGATGGGCATACCATCCCAGGCTCTGTTTTGGTTGATTGTATAAGTCGCTTATATGTTAGTTTGTATGCATTTGATTTGTTAAGAGAAAAAAAATATGAAGCCACTTATAATGGTTGAAGAGGCCGAAGTGTCCGATCCAGGGGCCCAAAAAAATCATATGGCAGTGTCAGCATGTTTTTCACGCTGACGTCAGTCCTAGGATGCCCAGATGATCAAAACAACCTCATACAAAGGGTGTGGTCGTGTGGAAAGTGGTGGTTTGTCAGTTGCCATGGCGGTTAACTTTATTATTATAATATTATTATTATTATCATGGCGATCTTTAGGGACCTCGGCAAAAAAAAAGCTCCATTTTGGAATGTGGCAATTTTTTTTTATAATCCTATATATTGTGTGTAAAATTCCTACTTACAAACGAGCTCGGAGGAAAGTTTACGAGTGATAACGACAGTGACTTTGCGAAAGGGAGCACGGACCAGTTTCGCGTAGGAGGGCACATTTTGGTTCCTTCCTTGATGAGAATGAGATGCACAGCACACCAAGTGCGAGATAATAATGATTCGTGGCCGTGATGAGGTGAGGTGTCCAGTGTCATCCGTAACACCGTAACGTACACATCTCCTATTCTCCTCCTACTGTCCTGTCGTGTACTACCTCAATTGGTACGCACTTGCCACTTGGCATTCCACAGGCCCAGCAGTGTGAAGTACGTACCGTAGGTGTGAACTGTTTTCCTTTTCCTTTGAGAACAATGCAATGCAAGAACATCCAATGTGAACCGTGGAGGAGTACAAGGCTTGAACTGAAAATCACTTGTACGATCATCTTATGATGCGACCCGGCTGCAGATCGGGTATCGTAATTGCGAAAGGTCGATAAGTGGGTGAGAAGTCAGTGATCAGCATAAGCCTGATTCTGATCCACGTGAATACAAGGTGGGGAAAAAAAATCTCTCGAGTTTTGCGACCGACAAAGTCTATATAGGCCCATCAAACATGTCGCGTAGCATTCGTTCTTCAACTTATGAGTCTGCCTTATCGGTCATCATATAGTATTTTTCTTTCACAACAAATCATTGAAAGTAATTTTTCAGTCTAGCTTTTTAGCGAAGCGGACAAGGCCTAAACTATAAGCCACTTTGATTTTTCTTTTATATATAATTTTTGTTATATTCCTAGATATGATATACTTTAGATATATGGTAGAAAATTCAATTTATAATAAACCAAAATGATTCACGATCTGAGAAACTTAATATATGTTTGGATGGTTTATGGAATCCACTTAGATATATGATTCAAAATCTACTTAGATATATGCTATGTTTACCTTTTTTTCGTTTTCATTTTGATAAGAAACTAAATATGTGTATATACTGTATAGTTTATGGTTATCCCATGCTTTATGAAGTGGTGCAATATAATTCTATTTTACGAATTTTGGTGAAATCAATTCATTTCTCGTGTATATACTAATTATTATCTTATAGGGAATAATTGTAGTGATAGATTAACCCATTCTATTTTATAAATCAAGAGGCTAGCAGAAAAGCTAGTAGCTCCCCACCCCCACCGTTGCTGCAAGGAAAAGAAGGGAAGATATAGGCCAACACGTGGCATTAGCAGTCAGATAACACACGCTTAGAAACCGTAATACTCCCCTGTCCACCGCTGCTGGTTTGCAAGGTCGGCAAGCTTTTCCAGTATTGTTTTTCTTTTGACAAACAAACTTTTCCAGTTGGAGCACTCCAGTCCACTTCTTGTATTTTTCCGGAAAAAGGAGACGATAAATAATATATAAATAAAATAAATAATCGGACAAAGAGGAGGGAAGCGTCAAGGCGCGGGAGACCCGCAGGCCAGGCCGCAGCGCAACGCAACGAGAGGGCCCACGCAGCGACCTCCCGCCACCGCCACATCCCATCCCATCCGCTTCCCGGAAACGCAGCCTTGCCGGGGACAGAAGCCTTCCCGCGTCGCGTCGCGCACGCCGTCCTGCCCGCCCCTTTTCACACCCCGGACGCAACCGCATCGCCGCCTGCCCGCCCTCTATATCCTCCCCTCCGCCACCGCAACCTCTCTCTATCCTCCTCAGCACAGCAGACGCGGCCGCGAACCCCCAGCCTGATCAGCAGCATCTCGGCCCAGATGTTCCTCGCCGACAAGTACAGCTCGCTGCTGCCCTCCCTCCACCAGCACCACTCCAAGCCGAGCCGCCGCCGGAGCCAGCAGCAGCAGCAGCAGAAGGGGGAGGCGGACCGGTTCGGCGCGGCGCTGGCCGCGCGCCTCCGGGGCCTGCTGCCGCTGCCGGCCTCCCCGCTCGCGGCGCTCGCGCGTGTGGCCGACCTCCTCGCGCTCACGCTCGCGGACGCGGGCCCCGCGCTCGCCGGCGCCGGCGAGGGCGACGCGACCGCCGTCGCCGCCCACCTCGACGCCGGCGTCGCGCTCCTCGACGCCTGCAACGCCATCGCCGCGCGCCTCGATCGCCTCCGCAGGCGCCGCCTCCTCGCGCGCCTCGCGCTCCACCTCCTCCTCTCCTCCTCCTCCTCGCCGTCGGGGTCCGGGCGGGTGCGCGCGCGTGCGGTGCTCTCGGACCGCGGTGACCACCCAGCGGCGTCCCCATTCCCTCTGGCGCCGCTCCCTTCGCTCCCGTTCGAGCAGCCCCGCGGGCGGCTCTCGGCCGTCGCGCGCGTGCTCGCCGCCGTGGACGCCGTCTCCTCGCTCGCGGCAGCGGCCGCAGCCGCCATTCTCGTCGGAGGACCCACCGCCTTCCCCCGGGTCTCCGGCGGCGGCGACCTCCCCTGGGCGGAGCCGTTCAACGCGGTGTCCGGCCAGCTCGCGGCGCTCGAAGGCGCCGGCGAGGTGGGCGCCGTCGACGAGGCCGTCCGGAGGCTCGCGTCGGCGCTGGACGCCGGGACCGACGACGAGGCGGCCGTGCGCGCCGCGGCGCAGGAGGTGGGGAGGCGCACCGAGGAGCTCGCGCCGCGCCTGGACCGCCTGTCGGACGCCGTCGGCGGCGTGTTCCGCTCCGCGCTGGGCCTCCGCAACGCCGAGCTCGGGTGCTTCATGGTGGGACCCGCGGGGAAGCCGTGTACTCCCTCCGTCTCATTGAGTTTGTCGTTGGAAAACCGTGCCCCCCTCACAATCCCGCTTCCCGAGCGACAATCTTAACGGGACGGAGGGAGTAGTAAATAGCCGTCGCTTTTCTGTGTATCGTAGTCGTAGCTGTATACTGTATACAACACTGTACTGGGATACCGCTACAGCTCAGTGGAGTGAAGTTGGGTTACGTCGCGTCGCCCTCGCCGGCGCCGCGAGCTGGGTGTGGGATCATTTGTGTCAGTGTCAAAGGACGAGGAGGCCACAGATGACGATACATTTTGCATCATTTTGGATTTGTGGCATCCACTGCTGTATGGGAATTGGGAAAGGAAAAATGTTGCAATCTGGCTGTGTAATTTCGCGGCATATAATAGCAGCATGTATGTATATTTTGAGGAACGTGAGCTGCATTTTCTCTCCATGGCTCCATCCATCCATAATCCATTCCATAAACCTGCTGGGTGGGAGAAACCATCTTCAGGTTGGTCTTCACTCTTCTCGACGAGTCATCGCCATCTGACGGCACGCACGTTTACGACCACGCGCCGAATTCGCACCGCGTTGACGCACGGAGGAACCGCGTCTGCAAAAGCAACTCGAAATGGGCTCGTCGGCGTCGGCCGGTCCCAGCGCGAGCGGCACCGGCAACCGAAGAAATGCGTGCGCTCAGAAGCAACCCGCACGCCCGCCAAAATGTCAGCGTCGTATGGGCGCGCGCGCGCGGCGTCACAGCACAGGACGACGCCGGCAAGCCGGCACGGAGATAGACGCGCGGACGGCTCTCTGCCGAAAGGCGGTGTTCACGGCACCCACTCAACGTCGGCCAGCCGGCCAGGTCAGGTGCCCCACCGTGCCCCGCCGAACGTGCGGTGGCCGCAGCCGTCACCCAAAGAGCGCGCGCACGGGGGCGGACAGGCAGCCCACTCCAGCGCAGCGGTTAAGACTTTAGCTCTTTCATTTGTGATGCAGCGGTTAATGTCATGATCCAGCAAGTAGCAACAAGCCTTCGATAACGACACAGTCAAGCCGGAGGATCAACTTGGACGGTTCGTTCGTGCCGGATACACTACAGGGCAGCTGGGGCTCCCCGTTCGCTTGAATTTATTAGGCATTGTATAATATTTTTTCTCTCATAACAAAACAGCATCAGTCGACTTATCAGCCGCATAAATCATCAGCCAAACAGTTATAAGAGATAATGAAGGGTCAGCGGGTTCTAGCAGGGGCGGCGAACCTTGGTTCAGTTCCTGACGCCATTACCGCAGAAGCAGCTGCTTGGGCACCGCAGGAGGTGACAGATCATGGCATATCACGTATACAGCTGGAGACGGACTCGGTGGTTTTGAAACAGGCTCTACAATCACCATCCATGGATTTCGCAGCATGTGGTATGTCGATAGGAGATACACGTGATTTATTGCATGAACATTTTGTATGCAGTGGCATCCTGTACGTATATTCCACACAATTGTAATTCAGTAGCGCATAATTTGGCTAGACTTTGTTTGAGTTGGGACCTGGGTGTGTACCATGTTTGGGCAGACCCCCTCTAAGAGTTTGTACAAACCTTTGTTGCTCGTGATGTCGTCGAGCCTGAGTTATCAATGAGAAGGCCGTAGAGCCAGAACTTGCATTAAAAAAAAAAGCCAGCATGCTAGAACTAGAACAATCAAGAAGCCTGTGTAGATTTTCAGTTTGCTTCACATAAGGAACAGAGGAAAACACTACCGTTCAGATATGCATGTGTATAGGATATGGAACAAAAATACACTGAAAAATCAGTCACAAATTGAAATACAATAAAGCCATAACGTTGAAACAAACTCCTGCCTCTCTTTCAAAGATTCATCTTAAGTGAGCAGCACTAAAGATTCAAAGCTCGAACAAACTAAGAGATTCATCTTTTTTTTAAGTGAGGAACGTCGTTCCAATTGATATTCAATGGGGATACAAGTTTGAACAGAGTTGCAAAAGAGTAAGAAGCAGAAACAAAAAAACTAGATCTTACTCTCACCAGTCATTTCGAGAAAAAGAACCTCGGCACTATGAGAGAGAACACACCCATCAACTAGCTTATTACAGGATAACATCTAATACTACCAACTGTCCAAAGACCTAAAAGCAATTTGTTGGTAATTCTTCACGCAGTCCGTTTTCGAGTGCCCACCAATGTTTCAAATAGCCGGATATAGCGTCCGCTATAGCCAGATTTAGTGGATTAGCAAGGTCGGCGCTAGGAGAGGTCCCTTTTAGCGCTAACTGATCTTGAACGCTAATAGTGGCGATTAGCACGCCAAAAACGCTAAACAAGGTTGATATAGCTTCGCTAAGCAGTTCCTAACGGACCCGTGGGCTGAAATAAGAGTGGGCTTCCTATAATTTTCATCAGCGGAGGGCCCAAAACAGCAGCCAATCCAAAGGAGGCTACCATCATCTGGTTTAGCATGCAAGTGGATTCAGAAGTAGAGAATGCTCTAGGGCTTACGGACCAACAATACACAGATCCAAAGGAGCCCGAGCCAGTTAGGATGAATGCGTGTTTTTTCCCTGATAATTTGCGTTGTTCAGAAGTTGGACACATGCTCTTATAATTTTCATTCACTCTAAGACGCTCGGCGTCGAAGTCACTAGTACATATGTCAGGTGAGAAGCTTGTGTCTAATGGATGACCCATTACATGCCCTAAACGCCAAGTAAAAACTATTTTTTTACTTTTATTTGAGAAACAAAAACTATTTTTTACTTGATGAGTAGTCTAATCTGTTAAGACCATGTTTGACCCATATAATGGACCGCTTAGAGCCTAAACTGCACGATAAGGCATCGAGTATTGTTTACATGACGTGTACCCGAATTACATGGCTTTTTACAGTAAGATGACTCGTCATTGTGTTTTCTTGTTGAAAGCTCATAAAACGGAATAATGTTGACAATTTAAAATTTCTTTTTGGTAATAGTACAACATATGTTTAAACTTACCGTGACATTATTTAATTTCGGTTGTAACCTACGGATCGAGTACGGGAATCATCCTAGTGAAGAAAAAAAAACTTGCTTTTATTTGGGATGACAAGTGGTCCAGGACGATGTTGTGTACTGATGCACTGTACGTATCTTATACATATGCATTTATTTTTGGCAACAAAATTTTTGCATGCAATCAAGGATATATATGCAATCAAGGGAGGCCATGCATCCCCTGCCTGTCTGACTGTATATATGGAGGGGCGAGACGGGAGGCGGGAGGCGAGAGGAGGGGAACTCTTGGTCACTATACAAAGGACCTGCCTGACCCTCTACCTCTGGTACACTTCGGTTGCAAATATCTCTCTCTACATACATGCGAGTATGAGGGGCGGCCTACACTTCAGTATGCGGTGGTTGTGTTTTTGTTCGTTGCGTTTCTTGGATGGCTATCGGTTCCTGTACGGTGTAAGTGTACACTATCACATCACATACGTATATTCTTCTTCTTGGATTTATATATGATTTATATTATTAGATTTAACATAGATAACATATGTCACATAATTGGTATCGTTGGAAAAATATTTGAATTTAGTTTTTTAATAAATTTATTTGGAGATACAAATATTGCACGTATTTTGTTAAACTTCCGGCACGAAAACCTAAAGCGCGAGATAATTTGGGACGAGTAGAGACTAGATGATTTGACGCTACAGCTTTCCACCTGCAGGGGCAAAAGCAGCATGCACCGAGCGCGCGCATGGTGGTAGACTGGCATGCACCTGCCGTCCGTGTCAGAGGGGAGGAGAGGAGAGCGGTGTGTGGTGTGTGGGCCTGCTACCGCTTGCACATCTCATCACCTCCGTCGCAGCACATCATCTGACGGCTCCGAGGTCGGCGCCAAGATCTGTGGCGCCGAGCTCGGAGCCATGTATTCTGGTGCCGAGGTACCGGCCACGTCAACGCCACCTAGGATGCCCTGCTGTGCACGGCCAGGCACCTCAGAGCCAAGATCTGTGACGCCGTGGTACTCGGCACCATGAGTCCTGACGCCGACCCCCAGGGTTCAAAGGTGAGTCTACGGCTCCCGGGAGGCCAAACGTATTTTTTTTTTAAAAAAGGTCAAATTGTAAAAAAATAGCTCCTGATCTAACATCCAAAGAGGGAGGAAAGGAGCAGGAGGCGGCGCGTTGACCCTTGGGATATACGAATAAGGTGACGAGCATCTGCCAACCGTTGCATTTGTGTCGCGCGCGACAGCAAATGGGGAACGGGTCAGTGACCATGCTCGTCACCTTATTCGTACATAATAAGAAACGGGGCAGTATGGGCCGCCTCCTGATGTTAGGATCAGGAGCTATATGTTTGTGAAAAGCGCGCGTACAGTGTAAATAGCTCTTTTTTACTCCGTGTAGCTTTTCTCACTGCGCTGCAGATTGGTGAATCTTTAATTTTCACATGAAAAAAATTGGCCCACTCACCCATCGCCACCATGAAGCATGTATGTCACGTCGTAGATCCTCATTGTTGTTGAGGCCTTGAGGGCCCGCAGTATGCGTGTATATATGCTAATACATATATGCATCAGGAGAAGCTCTCGGCGAGACGTGCAGTATGCGTGTATATGCCACAAGACCGGCCCGGCAGCTCCAAATACCAAACAAAGTGAATATGTTTGTATGGCGTTTCACTCATAACAGTTCGCCGATACGCTGAAATTTAATGAGAAGCGGGAGAGGGGTAAGATTACATACCTATACGTCAAGTGTGTAGAAGATTGGATGAAGATTATGGGCACCTATTTTTTCTAATGTAAGGGAGTTAGAGAATGTTGGTACATGCTGAACATACACAATATGCCTTCTGACTTGGATCATGTCCTTCAGGGCAAGACACCATGATGAAATTTTGAAATTTAGCACAAAAGATGAAGCTGAAAGTGTTGGTGTTGTTATGAAGATAGTGGTCAGCATGACAGTACGGGGGCCAAAATGTCTAGACCAACAGAAATTTGCAGTACAACCAATTCTTGAAAAGTTGTGATGGAGCTTGAAAGTAAATTTGTCTCAACCAAAGAGAAACCAGAATAATCCGCGTTGTGTCAATTCCTAGATGGAAGTGACCACCTAGATGGAAGTCACCACCTGTAGGCTATTGCAAAGTAAATATTGATGAGGGGGATGGGGATTTGTGGTAAAGGGGTCTAATAGTGAATTTTCTTGAAGCTGGGGCAGGGAACTTGACCTGGGTTTCGGGAACTCTGCCAGCTGAAACCTTTGGTTGTCCAAATGAACCCGGAGCAGGTGCCACAACTTGGCAAGTCAAGAATAATTTTGGAGACGGATACAGCAACCCCGGGGACAACTCTTACATCGACGGAGAATGACCGAAGCCCGAATGGCTGCTTGTTTAAGCAGATTCGAGAATTTATGTTTTCTAATTTTGTGTATTGTACCATCTCTATCTTCTCTAGATTATGTAGTAACATGGTAGCACACAGTTTAAGTTTAGCTGCCCATGGGGCTTTGTAACTTGCAGCCTGATTCACATGTGTACTTAAGCCAGGCCCCAGACTTTGTTATGGCTCTGGTGTCCGGCAATTTGTCTGGAGCCAATGTTTAACGAAGGACTTCTGTTTTCTGTTTGGTAAAAAAAAAAAAAAGCGCGGTGGAGGCAGCCGAACATGGGCCGACGCCGATCCATGGCATGGATTCACGCAACCGCGCCTCTCGAAGCCCATCTCGAACGGCCCGGCAGCCGAAAATGAAGCAGGGCATTGGCAAACAACGGGCCGGCCCGCAACCGCAAGCTCCGCGCGCGCGGTCAACAGCATGCGAACCCGCCTGCGAGGCGGAGACAACCAACGCACTCTGGCAGTCGCCACGATCGATCCCCCTCCGTCTGCTCGAGACCGTACGTAGCTACCACAGTACCACCTTTCCCCTCCCTATTAATTCGCTCTTCCTCTCGGCTTCTCAGCTGATCCGAACACACACGCGTACTACACGGCAGCTAGCGCGCGATGGCGAAACTCCGTCCGCTCGCGCTCCTCCTCGCCGTCCTCGGCTGCGCGCTGTGCCGCCACGCCGACGCGACCGCCTTCGAGGTCGGCGGCGACGACGGGTGGGTCGTGCCACCGGCCAGCGACGGCGGCAGGTACAACCAGTGGGCGTCCAAGAACCGATTCCTTGTCGGCGACATCGTCCGTAAGATAGATCCATTCCCATTCGTTCGTTGGTTCCCTTGGATCAATCTGGCAAACGCCGTTAATCAATCTCGATCGCCGCCAACTCATGCATGGTCCGTGCCGCGTGCAGACTTCAAGTACAAGGAGGACTCGGTGATGGTGGTGACGGAGGCCGACTACGACAGCTGCCGCGCGTCGCACCCCATCTTCTTCTCCAACAACGGCGACACGGAGGTGGAGCTGGACCACCCGGGCCCCATCTACTTCATCAGCGGCGATACCGGCCACTGCGAGCGCGGCCAGAGGATGGTCGTCAGGGTCGTCGGCCCGGGCGCGCCCCCACCGGCGCCTCCGAGCCCTCCGGCCCCGACTGGAGCCGCCGCTCCAGCAGGCACCACCGGTGGCGCGCTCGCCGGCGCCATTGCAGCCATGGCCATGGCGTTGCCGGTCATCGTGATCGGCGTCTGAATGAATTCACTCGAGAGGCGATTAGGCGCGGGCTGTCTGGCTCCATCGAGAACGGCGTTCGTGCGAGTTTGTGATTGATGGCGCTTTCCTTTGTTTGTTAGGCTTGCGTGTTTTTCCGCCCCGTTCGTTTCGTTAATAAGCTATACTGCCTCTCACGAAACAAATCAGTCAACGCTACTTTTAGCCATAACTTATCAGCCAAGCGAACAGGGCATTCGTAGATAAAATTAGTGGTGAGTTTGTGGTTGCGCGAAGATTTTTTTTTTTGATTTTTTCCGTCAAAATTTGTATTGTTTCGACTGTATTTCACCGCGTACACATATGAAGAAATGACAAAAATATTATACCGTTGGCGTTTCAACTTGGAACCTTTCTTTTTTTTTAGCAAAACTTGGAACCTTTCTGCTTTCACAAGGGCATGCATGTCACATTCTGCAGCACTTGTGCGTGCCAGAACATGGACTGGCCCGGTACGGCCCAAGATACTCCAGTGGGCTGCCCATTCTGCAGGCTGGAAACCGTATGCTCCGCCCCCGCGTCATTTTTTCCTGTCTCGTGGGCCGTGGCAGCAGCAATTCCGACCCCGCGCGCGCTCTTTCTTCCCCCTCGCAACGCGCGGGCGGGCGCGCCATTCATTTCACCCTTCCCCGAACAAGTCCTCCCAAACCCCCCCAAAGCGAGGGAGAGCCGTGGCTGCTGACCAAACCCCCTCGCCGCCTCCTCCCGAAATTCCTCCAATCCGGAGCCAATGGCGCCGTCCCCTCCCACCCCGACGGCACCCAAAACAATCGCCGACTTCTTCGCGCGCCCCGCCAAGCGCCTCCGCGCGGGCACCGCCGCCCCTGCCGCATCCCTCTCCTCCAATTCCTCCCCTTCCTCGCTCTCGCCGGAGCAGCGCCGCCGCGCCGACACCAACCTGGCGCTCGCCCGCGCGCGATGCAACCTCCGCCTCGCCGAGTCCAAAGCGCAAGGTACCCGCGCTCCCGTCTCCCCCTCCCCCTAGGGTTCCGTCCGCGCGTACAGCGCATTCCCGTCTTCCCGTCTGTTCGTAGCTACTGACGGACGCTGCTCTGGTTGCGGGGATGGATGGATTCCAGCGTCGGGTGGCGCACCGAAGCTGGAGGAGCTCCTCGTGGAGGAGACGTGGGCGGAGGCGCTCCACGGGGAGCTGCGCAAGCCATACGCGCTCGAGCTCTGCCGCTTCGTCGCCCACGAGCGGCTCCACGGCCCACTGCCCGTGTACCCGCCGCCGCACCTCGTGTTCCACGCGCTCAACGCCACCCCGTTCGACCGTGTCAAGGCAGTCATCATCGGTCAGGTATAGCTTGCCTGCTGCTACCGTATATCATCTCTGGTGACCACCAGCATTTTGTGCTGATTTTTTTATACTAGATATCAGCACGCTAAATTGATTAGTTTTCTCTATGCTATTATTTCTCATTTGTGGGGAAATTTGTAATGGAATCGTGAATAGATGCATGGTTTGTGGTATCTGTACTGCACTCAGGGGTTGGCTAATTGCTTGGATGATCATTTAGTTACAGTAGCGGTCTATTTTTGTTCTAGAATGATGTGGGAATTTTTTTTCTTGGTTTACTTTCATTAGCATTGGCACATCAAGTGATTCCAAGGGCATATTCCTTTTTTTTGTATCCTTCTATCACGGATATTAAGCATCACAGTCTGATTTTGTCCAATATACCAACCCTTCTTATGTTGGTGTTGTCTGACTCGCGATAAACCAAAACATGGATAGACCAATCACATGTGTTGGAAATACTCGTGTCTTTTACTATGCAACAAGATCTGTTAGCTCCTGATGATTGATTTGAGCATATGCTGCTTGTGTTTTTGCTTTGTTTGAACTTATTGCATGGTTTTGGATGCCATAATGTCCATGTATGTGGTTTGTTTTCCTGTCATGCTGCTAGCCTGATTTGTACTAGAATTATTGTCAAAATGCTACTATTTATTGCCTCACCCTTCCATTCAGCTTTTATTGGGTTACACTTTATAGTCTGTGGTGCATCGGGTGTTGAATAAACCATATGTTTTTCTCTTCGTACTCGAATCTACTTAGATACCTCATCTTGTTTGCAATAGGTTTGCATTGCATTTGTCATCTACGACATAAACCACGTTTCACCTGTCAAGTTTAAAATGCATCTATTATTCCTCAGTGCTCATACTGTAGCATGCCTGCTTTTCAGGATCCATACCATGGCCCTGGTCAGGCCATGGGGTTGTCTTTCTCAGTACCGGAGGGGATAAAAATACCTTCTAGCTTAGGTAACATTTTTAAAGAGCTCGAAAAAGACCTAGGCTGCACTGTGCCATCACATGGAAATTTGGAAAGATGGGCCGTGCAGGTAACATTATTTAATATTCAATCTTGTTGCAAAAGAGGATATATGCAATTATACATTGATATATCATGAATTATTAGGGGACAACAATTTACAAGGAGAAAAAGTGTTATACTCTCGCAGTGAGTATTAAATACAAAGAATCTGCTAGTATTGACTTAACATCATGTATCTTATAATGTAACAAGAATCGAACATCAATTTGTATGTTTCTAGCACAAGCTTTATGTGATACGGACGCTATTGAATTATTTAATTTCCTGATTTGGCTATTAATAGCTAAGTGTGTTCACTAGAATGTGTTAAGAAGGTGGTGTGAAATCTTAAATAACAGGGTAGCAGTTAGCAGTATAAAAATTTAGAAAATAAAGTAGCTGCTGTGGTCAAATTGATTTAGTACTTAAACTGAGGGGTAAACAAAAATTATGGTGTTCCTATCCACCTATTCCTTTACCTCCTTACATAGTTACCTATGAAAATGTATTTGTCACATGATGCCATATTTTTCACTCATCTTTGCTTCTTGAAATATTTATTAATTTAGAACAAAAAACTTGTGTATGATGCAGGGTGTTCTTATGCTCAATACCGTCCTAACTGGTATGATTATTTCCTCCATTAGAACAAAAGATCTCCTTACCCCCCTTGATTCTATATGACTACATTTATGTTGTGGTTCAACTTAAATGTGTCTCACTCTGTTCTTCTAGTTGCAACTCTATTCAGTATTATTATGCATTCCTGTAGCTTGATTCAAATTATATTTCTGCACACATGATTGAGCCTTGGAAGATTCTGAATCATCTTTTATTCTTTTTATTTAGTTCACTCCTGTAATCGCTCCTAAATGTAGGCTTAGATTTGCCTTGTCTCTGCATGGTGTTTGTTACACACCAGGGGTGTGCTGTGCGGGGGATCAAACCCCCATCAGTCCTCCCCGCACTTGGGAGCTTACCACTGGGACAAAGGCTCATCCCCAAAGATGTTCCTGTCTCCACTAAGGGAACCTTACTAGTTACTACCTATCAATTTTCTGTGATATCAAGTTATTTATTTTTTCTGTAAACTTAATGTGCACTAGCAACACTCCTCTGAATGATCCCTGCTGAAAGCATAACATAATGTGACAACAGCCATGATTCTATACAGCTATTTTATTTCCAATAACAATTGTGTTATCTGCACATTCCTTGTAAAGTTTTTTTTTTAAGTTCCATGGAAAATAGCCCCTGCATGTGGTGCTGTGCATGACCAGAAGGACCAGAGTATAGCATCGATCTGGTTCATACATTTGCAGTAGGTCTAGGCCCAGTCGGCATATAATAGAAACTATGCGAAAGAACAACTACCATCGTAGCTCACACCCACATGCAGAACAGATCCTTTTAGTGATAACACCAAACTACATACATTTCTGCATGAGATTGGCACACGGTTCGGAGTGTACCATTCCCATTGTCTGTTCTTCATCAGAGATGGACATCTTCTTCCCCAGAGACCGGGGCTCTCTAGAATGGACTGACAGGTTGTGAGTCAGGAAACACCAGCCATCAGTGAGAGCTTCTCCAGCTTTGCCACTAAATCCTCCAGCTTGATTCCTTATAAAGTTGTAATCCTTCAGCCATGTTGAATCAAGTACGTATGACAACATTAGTGAATTTTTAGAGTAACCCAAGTTCAAGAGAAAAGTTGCCAATATACCATGTCTGAAGCCTTATGTTATCAAAAGACAATAGAGCGGTGAGAATGACAAGTGGTCAAAATGCAATTTTGCCAATGATATCGGACTAATTTTTGCTTAGCATAGTGTTTATAATAGCATAACCTTGATCTGTTCTGTGTTGTAACTTGTCATCTTTGTTATCTTGATTCCCTCTAGCCTTATTCAAATTCATACTCCTATCTGTTATTTCCATTCTTGGGGATTATATCTTGTGTAATAGAAAGACTAGCTTGTCTTACCAGTGAGGGAGCATCAAGCCAACTCACATGCCAAGAAAGGATGGGAGCAGTTTACAGATGCAGTCATTAAGACTGTATCACAAAAGAAATCAGGATTAGTGTTCCTTCTTTGGGGGAATTCTGCTCAATCTAAGACAAGGTAGAGGCTTTATTCTACTTCTGGTAGACTTGAGCTCAAGTTCCAGCTCAGAGCATGACCAGACATATTTTTTTCCTTTCAAATTGAATATTATGTGTTTCATTTCCTACTTAATTGAGCGGCAGAGCTCCTGCCATTTCCTTAAAAAAAACATTATGCGATTCATAGGGTGTATGTTTGTGCGTTGCAGATTGATTGATGAAACAAAACATCACATTTTGAAATCTGCTCATCCATCAGGCCTGTCTGCAAACAGGGGTTTCTTTGGATGCAGGTTTGTTTCTTCTCTCTGAATAAACTTCCTCTTCCTCCAATACTGTTTTCCTGACTAGAAAAGGACTCAACCTCACCCAGTCACCCCCAAAGAAAACAAACAAAACAGATAAAAAATGTATATATGATGACACTTTGGTAGCAAAATTAATGAAGGTTCCTATCATGTATATTGTTGAATTGATTGTTTTGTTGGCCACAATAGTACTTATTTCATTCTATACCGTGTGGATTCTAAACAGACGGCTGGTGTCTCTGCCATTGCTGAAGTGCAGTGGGTTTATAATGATTTATCCTATGAAAAAAATATTGAACTCCACAGCACCGCATGTAATGCTATTGCCGATACATTGCTTTTGGCCGTCATGTCCTGTCTAGATTTTTGCCAACTTGATGTTACTTTTGCCTTTTCACTTACTAGCGCTAATGGTTACTACCGTGGGTGCATTAGCTGAGTCACCTGATACATGGAACGTCGATATGATCTCCTCAGCATCTCAAATCCTGTTCATGGGAGCCCAATCCAAATAAATGAAGTGCTACTAGCTTTTGCTGTAATTATCCTTGAATCTTTTCTCACGTGCTACTGTGGTTTCATGATTCCCAGGCACTTTTCTAAAACAAACCAGATCTTAGAGAAGCTGGGGCTATCTGCCATCGATTGGCAGCTCTAGAAAATTTCCAAGACGACATGTGATTTCTCTGCTTGAGCTTGACAACCACCGTTGCAGGAAGTGGAGCAGAAGCACATGCCTCAAGGGCCATCCTATTAGGTCAAGATTTTGTGGCGACTTTAAATCATACCTGGCCGATTTGGATATGAGTGCTTAACTCTACTAACGCTTTGTATAGCCCTTCTTTTGTTTCGTGTCTTATCCTGCTTTATTTACTTTGGCACCAAATTGTTCTGGCAATTGTGGTTGTCGTACGTCGTGCAACTACTTTGTTTGGCACTAGGACACGCCCATTTGGTCTGCCTTGTTAGATCTGGTCATCTGACGTACTAGAGCTTAACAACCACCCTGCCCGTACATGTTTGTAACCACCATATGTGCATAAAGTCAGATCGTCCTTCCTCATTTGGGATCACTTTGTCTAGCAACTCTCATACTCCCAAAGATCTGCTCGTAGACTCGGCACCAACTCTTGGATCCTACGAAATCTGAGTGCAGCGGAAAAGGGCAAGCCTTTTCTTCCTTGCTTACCTTGAAACGAAGAGAGCCATGTCAGCTGTCGCGCTACGTTAAACCGATACGTACACGTATTCCGCGGCCAATCGGCTGTAACGAGCCTCGCGAAAGGGTGCACGCCTTTGCGCCTAGTACCTCTCTACCTGCCGTATTTTTGTACGGTTGGAGCCGTGCCATTCTCCAGTTTCTGTGAGAGAAAAATCTGCTTCTGCGGATCTGCCTTGTAGAGTGTGACAGAGAAAGCAGCACTGCACGTCAGTCGCATTGCATCTGCGGTTGGACCGTTGGAGGATGGATGGAGTCCGGAGCGCGCGGAGAGAGTGACATGTGCAGTAAGTAGTAAGTATCCATACGCCCATACGTGTTGATTCCATGCGTTCAGGATGTCATGTGTGCACAGTGCGCCGCACCGCACCTCCGAAGCTTTGCTGAAACTTGACACGCAGGCAGAGCAGAGGCAGCGCTGCCGTGTCTCACCCGTTCGAGCCGGGCTGTAGCCGTAGGAAGCGACGTGACATCATCCCCGTTCCACCCCGGCAGGACTTGACGAGGTCAGCAGCACGCTCCCGGCCCGGATTCGTCAGGCCGAGAAAGCAGATCATGGCGGATCCGGCGGCGTGACTTGCATCCGTTCGGACAAGGACCAAATTAACGCTGTTGCGACGGGGTCACGGTCATCACAGGGTGTGAACCGTGAACGCGTCGCGGCATGTACGTACGCTTTGCCTGGGCGCCGTCGCGTTCACCCCGATCGTGGTCACGCAGTCCAAACCACCAGGTCTCCGCGGGAGAAAACGCCGGCACCGGACAAACTCCAAGTCCAGGGTCTAGAAGACTACTAGAACCGTCTCTACCTTCCACGGCCCCGGAACGTAAGTCGTCTTTATAGCACGGTAGTGTACAGAGTATATACTAGTACTGGCTCCTGTCCATAAATGATAGACGTATCTGACCATAAGAAAAGTCATACAAAATATATTTCGATCCGTAATTTCTCTTATAGTATAGACAATGGCTAACAACTGTTCGCTTGCTTGTATACGATCGTGGATTATAAGCTGTAATAGTATTTTTCTCTCACACCAAACCAGCCAGCACTAAATAATCCACGATCGTTTACGGCCTGCCGAACATGCTTTAAATTAATATCATCCTAGAGCCAGTTTGAACACAAATCTATTCGTGTAAGTTTTATGCTCCAAACTTGCGCATAATTTAACTAATTGTTAGTCAAACTTTGTAAAATTTGACTTTTTCTCTAATACTCCCTATGATCCATTTTATCTGGCGCACACGTATATCAAGACTCAAAACTGTGACCAATAATTATGCTAATAATTTTTAATTATTATAATATAAACTTTATATGATTAGATTTGTAATGAATTATACTATCCAATAATTATAAGTTTATAAACATAAATAATATAATATAAAGTAAATGAATTGTCAAAATTTAATCTAGAAAACCAGATAAACTGGACCGAATGGAGTATAATACACCTATCATTTCTGGACAGATGGGCCAGCAGTAGCGACTTGGCAACACACGTACCCCCGTCTGCCATTACCAGATTCTGTAATGAGCGAGCCAAGTCACACGCACATCGAATGACGACAATTACAGACTACAGTCCTATGTATTGCCGGTGTGAGTGATCAAAACGTAAAAGGGCCAGATTCAGAGACAAATAACTGGGGATTGAACATGCTAGACCAACATACAAGTTTATTACTGTACTCTATCCAAGAGAAATCGATTTTTCTAGAATTGTGCTAAGTCAAACTGTCGGTGCAGAATATGACCAACTAGTAAATATTTATAGTTTTGTCGTACGTTATGATCGAAGGTGGCCTAGCACTCAATGACACAGGGTTTATACTGGTTCAGGCAACGTGCCCACGTCTAGTTTGGGTCGGTTAGTGACTTTATTCCTGAGCCCAGGTGCTCGAAGTTTGCCGTGGGGTTACAAACGAGAAGGAGAAAGATGGGGTATAGAAGAGGTCCAGTCGGCTTCGGTCGGAAGGGCCAAAAGCGACGGAAGCTATGCTATGAGCTAAGTGTTCAAGCGTGTGCTTGAGGTACGAACCCGGAGGTTCTGTGGTTGTGAGCTGATGAACTTGATCGATGATGGTTTTTTACTTGAAAGGACTAAAAAGAGCCTTCTTGTTGGAGGGAGCGCATCCCCTTTTATAGACAAAAGGGATGGCTTTACAAGTGAGAGGGTGAGGGTACGTATGCTATTGGGCTTTGTCGCCCATGCCGGTGGGTACAAGATAATGGTATGCGGCTTTGTTGATGTCACCAGAGAATGTCATGTGCATGTGGGAGGTACAAGGGAATGGTAGATGTCGGTACACTGCAAATTTGTTGATGTCTAGAGGCATGTGAGGAGTCTCACCACGTTCACTGCACGGTAAATCCGGCGCCCATAATGCTATCGATGCCTAGAGGCACGTGGAGGTCTTGTATGGGAGTTCTTGCCCACAACAATAGAGGTAAATGTGGCGTACAATACAATCTTGTTTGTGTTAGGGCGGTTGGAGAAACCTTGTTCCCGCAGTGTGATGGTGGTATGGTCCTCAGTAGCGTGGTTTGACTTTTGCTACGGCTTGCTTTCTCCGTTTGTCCCTTGGTTCCTTCCGAAGTGGCGTCCCCCCGGTGAGACGGTTTTTGGTCAAGCATGATCGGAGAAGAGCGGTGGCGGGTTCTGTGAACCCCATCGGAGACGCGGAATTGAGTCGAAGTAGCACTAAAGCCTTCCGATCGGAGAGGGCCGTCCGGGATGGATCAAGCGGCGCTCGCCCGGGAAGGAGGTGGGCCAGTAGTCGGCAGTGGGTCTTTGTTTCTTTTTCGGGACCTTTCCGGTCGATATTTGGACCGCCCTTTCGGCCTGTTGCTCTAGATCCTTAGGCCGGCCCATGAACTGTGTGCTGTCTGTTTGGGCCGATCCTTGGCGTGGAAGCCAGTCCCCGAGGGACCCCGGGTTTATGAACCCGATATAAACTATTTTAAATTTGATCAAATTTATATTTAGTTTGTTAGCTACTTTGGTGGAGCTAAAACACATTGGAAAAGATCTGGCAAAACGGCTCGTGGGAGTATTTTCAAGAGGAGGAACAGATAGTGGCTTCAAGGAGCAGAACCGTTTTCTTTTACTTTAGTTTGGTATAGGACTTCACGGGTAGTAGAAGAATAGAGTCCTGTTAAAAGAACCTTTATTAAAATGCTAGAGATCTATTACAATGGTTAGGAAAGTACCTTGATACCTCCAGGTTCTTTCATCTTTTTTATTTTTATGTAATTAATTGAAAATATATCATAGAGGGTATTTTAGTAATTGAGAAAAATCCGAAAACCATGCCAGCCTGCCTAAATCTTCTTGGCATGCATGCAGTATGCATTATACGTCACCAAGCCTTCGAAAATCAGCTAGCTCTCAGCGTGGATGCATAAATTGGAGGGTGTCATATTTGTTTGCTATAAGAGACCCAGCGATCACTAATAGTTGTGTCACGTGTTCCTGTATGTGCATCACGTTTTTTCACCAACGTGTCTCCGTTTGAGTTTCATGTCCAAGCAGCCCTTCATGAAATTAATCTCTCATGTACCACATTGTATGTAGCAGCATCATATATGTCACATTAAAAAACTGTTACACTAACTATGTACATTAGCACCATCATATATGTCACATTAAAAATGTTACACTAACTAATGCACATTAGCACCATCATATCAGTCACATAAAAAAGTTACACCAAGTATGGACATCCATCTCATACGGATCCATGCACATACATGTCAGTACTTTTCGTTAGGTGCCTCCTATTTTTTCACCCTTCGATCTCGTCCAGTGAATGACCCCATCTTTCTTCCAACCCTTCTAAAATTTCTCTAAATGCTACTCCTCACGGATAACGCCGTGACGGAAATCGAAAGGGTGGAAGGCCGACCTGACTCGTGACCCCGTGACCCGACCGGATCCGGCGCGCCAGGCCAGCTGGCCAGGCAGCACTCACGCAACTGTTGAGGCCACTGTGACCGGTCGGTCCGCGCGTAACGTATCCGGTGGATCACCGCCCGCATCCGCCCCGGGCCTCGGCCTGCCGATCCTGCTGCATCTGCGTGCGTACAATCCCGGCGATCATGGCGACCCCCGCCCAGCGGCCAGCAACCAACCAACCAAAACCGGCCCCGGTGCCGTCCCGTCGATCTCCTCATCGCCACTGGTGTCCACCTCACCGATCAGGCGATCACGGTCGATGGCTCTCCCACGCCGGGGCCGGGCGCCCGCGTTTCCCTCGTGAGGCCACCACAGGGCCGCACCAGCCGCAGATGATGACGCCAAGACGGGAACCGCGTGGTGATCCGGCGGATCCTGACAGCCAGCCAGGCTGGTCTTGTCTTGTTCCTTCCCTTGCTCGTTGCTCCCGGTCCCGTCCACGCACGCCTTTCTCGGGCAGCCGGCCTCGCCTCACGA